GCGCCAGCGGCACTGCGCTGTGGGCACAGCTCAGCGTGGGCACAGCTCAGCATGGGCACTGCGCTGTGGGCACAGCTCAGAACAGGCACTGCGCTGTGGGCACAGCTCAGCATGGGCACAGCTCAGTATGGGCACCGTACTGTGGGCACAGCTCAGCACGGGCACAGCTCAGCATGGGCACAGCTCAGTATGGGCACCGTACTGTGGGCACAGCTCAGCATGGGCACAGCTCAGCACGGGCACAGCTCAGCATGGGCACTGCGCTGTGGGCAGTGGGCACAGCTCAGCATGGGCACAGCTCAGCATGGGCACAGCTCAGTATGGGCACTGTGCTGTGGGCACAGCTCAGAACAGGCACTGTGCTGTGGGCACAGCTCAGCATGGGCACTGTGTTGTGGGCACAGCTCAGCACGGGCGCCACGGTGACCCCCAGCCCCGCTCCCCCAGCACTCACAGGCTCTGCAGGTTGGTGAAGCCCCGGAAGGAAGCACTGGGGACAGCTGGCAGCGGGTTCTCAGTCAGGTCCCTGCGAGCACACGGAGCTTCAGTGCCATCCTGCACCCCAGCCTGGCAGGCACCGGGGGCACCCCTGGCATCTCGCTGAACTCAAGCAGTACCCATGCCCCCAGCACCCCCTGCCCGCCCGAGGCCCTGGGGGTGCAGCCCTGCAGGGCTCAAAGGTCTCTGCAGAGCTGCTGAGGGAGCGCTTGCTCATTAACAAAATCACTGATAAGCTGAGGTGTCACGGTGCTTGCTCATTAACAAAAACACTGACAAGCTGAGGTGTCACGGTGCTTGCTCATTAACAAAAACACTGACAAGCTGAGGTGTCACGGTGACCTGAGGGCCAGCACGGCTCACTGGGCTCGTCTGACCCTGAGCCCTGAGCCCTGGACGTGGCAGCTCCCTGACTCCCGTCTCCCCAACCCGGGGATGAGGACACCGTGGGACTGTGGCAAAAGCCAAGACGTGACCATGTGGCTCATGTCTCCTGTGCCAGCACAGGCCCCCACTGGCTGTCCTGTGACAATGTGCACCATGACAGCTCCAGAAGGATTTGTCCCCTGCTCCCCCTAAGGCTGCCTGGGCAGAGAGGTCCCAGGGCTCCCCATTCAAAAACGGGGGTGGTTTCTGTTTGGTCACACCCTATGGACTGCCACTGGCAGCAGGAGGGCAGGGAGCAGCCAATGCCCCCAGGATCAGCAGGGCACGGCTGTGCTGGGCTGGGCGCACGGGAATGTCCCACCAAACCTGCCCCAACCCCCTGTGCTGGGCTGGGCCCAGGGGAATGTCCCACCAAACCTGCCCCAAGCCCCTGTGCTGGGCTGGGCCCATGGGAATGTCCCACCAAACCTGCCCCAAGCCCCTGTGCTGGGCTGGGCCCGCGGGGATGTCCCACCAAACCTGCCCCAAGCCCCTGTGCTGGGCTGGGCCCACGGGAATGTCCCACCAAACCTGCCCCAAGCCCCTGTGCTGGGCTGGGCCCGCGGGGATGTCCCACCAAACCTGCCCCAAGCCCCTGTGGCAGCCCAGCCCAGCTCCTTGCAGGGGCAGGAGGAACTCACAGGACGATGGCAGCAGTGGCCTCTGCCAGTCCCGGGGGAACGCTCTGCAGGGAGCAGTTGCTCAGGTCCAGCCTGGGAAGGGGCAGTGCTTGGGGACACAGCAGCAATGCCTGTCCCCCACACTTTCCCGTGAGGCCTTGTGACCCCCAGCACCCACCTCAGCCCCGGACTGTACCCGATCCCCCCGCACCACCACGCAGGATGCTCCACCCGGCATTCCCCAGCCCCGCCACTCCCCGGCACCGCTGCGAGCCCCGAACCCATCCCGGCACCCTCCATCCCCCGAGCACCCCCTTCACGCGGCCCCCGACCCCCCAGCACCCGGATTCGCCCCCCGCCTGTGCATCCCCGTCCTCCCCCGGGCCCCCCGTACCCCAGAAGCCGCCCCGGGGACGGGCCCCGCTCCCGGCAGCAGCGCCCGTCGCTCTCGGTGTCCCGCCGGGACTCACAGAAGCGGGCCACGATGGAGCCGTTCCGCGGCGGCCCCGGGCAGAGCCCGCACACCTGGGGAGGCGAGGGGGCACGGGCAGCATCCCCCGGGATCGAGGGGGCACGGGCAGCATCCCCGGGGTCCAGGGGGCACGGGCAGCTCCGGCACAGGGGCACCCCCCGACTCCCGAGCATCCCCGACCCCCGGTACCGGCGCTCCCCGGACAAGGGGAACCTCCCCGGCCTTAGGGCAACCCACGGCTTCCCCGACGCCCGGGCACCTCCAAGCCGGGCACCGCCGGCCTCAGGACAGCCCCGACCGGGGACCCACCGACCCTCGGTTCCCCCGGGACCTCCCGAACCGGGCACTCCCTGACCTCTGGGCACCCCTGACCCGTGACATCCTGTGCCCACCGGCGCCCCCCGTTTCCGACCCTCCCCCGGTTTCCGTGGCTCCGTTCCCCGTGCTCACCGCGGCCCCGCGGGCGGCCCGGGGCAGCAGCAGCGGCAGCAGCAGCAGCGCGAACCCGCGCACGGCCCCGCGCATCCCCGCGCTCCGGGGACCCCGAGCGGGCGGCGGCGGCGGCTCCGTGCCCGTTCCCCCCCGCCCGCACGGCCCGGGCGCCCTCTGGACCCGAGCCAGGCCCCGGAGGGCCCCGGCAGCGCGGGCACCGGGGCGCGGTGACCGCCCGGGGGCGGAGCCGGGCCGGGATGGGGATGGGGACCGGGACCGGAGCCCCGCGCGGCCCCCGGTGATGCCGTCAGCGGCGGGCGGGCGGAAGCGGCGGCGGGAGCGGCCCCGCCCGCCCCGGCGTCATCCCGGCGCGCCCCGGCTGCGGCGGCACGTGGGGAGAGTGCTGCCGCCGCCGGTGAGTGTCGCACCGGGGCCGCCGGGACAAGGTCACCGCCGCCTCCCGCCACCGGGACCGGGCGCCCCGCGGGCGGCGGGGACTGGGGCTCGTGGGGTGAGGGCGCTGGCGACACCGGGGACAGGGAGTGGAACCCCGGGATGGGGACACCAGGGACGGGGAGCAGAGCCCCGGGCTGGGAGCACTGGAGGCAAGGAGCAGAGCCCCAGGCTGCGGCCACCGGGGCCACCGGGAACGGGGAGCAGAGCCCCGGGATGGGGGCACCGAGGACGGGAAGCAGAGCCTTGGCTGGGGACAGCGGGGACGGGGAGCGGAGCCCCGTGTTAGGGACACCGCGGACACCGGGGACACCGGGGACACCGGGGACACCGGGGACACCGGGGAAGGCGAGTAGAGCCCCAGAGAGCCCCGGGATGAGGGCACCGGGGACAGCTCCGGGTCCCCGAGGGCACGGGGTGACAGGAAGGCTGTGATGGAGCGTGAGGAGCGGGGCACCGGGGCAGGCGGGCTGGGCACGGCGGGGACGGGGCAGCGGGCTCACCACGGGGACACCCTGGGGACACCCTGGGGACACCCTGGGGACACCCTGGGGCCGGGAGAGCGGGGCCTGGGGCTGGCGCTGCTGCGCTCTGTGGGACACGCTCTGGGACCGGCTGGGCGAGGGGGCAGCGGGCACTCAGAGCGGGGACCGGGCCGGCGGGGCTGGGGGCACCAGGGGAGGGCGTGTGAGGACACCGGGGCCGCAGGCAGCACCGGCACCGAGGGGTCTGTGGGGCACGGGAGCCTCGGGCCAGGGCTGTGCAGGGCACTGGGGCTGTGCTGTGCTTGCTGGGGACGCCCTGTGACCTCCCTCCCATGTTTAGTCTGCACAGGGGAATGCGGGGAGTGACCTTGGACCCTGGCCATGAGCTGCCACACGTGGGGCCCGTCCTGGTCAGGGACAGGCCAGGGCTGGTGGCGGCACAGACGCTGCCCTCTCACCCCATTCCCCACCCTGGTGCTCAGAGCCCCGTGCCAGCTCCGCTGCCCCCGGCCCTGTGGGGTGGGCAGGCCCGGGCAGGCTGTGCCAGGGCTGCCAGGAGGGGCTCAGCCTAATCCCAGCAATCATTCCCAGGCAAGCATTCCTCCAGGGATCACCGTGGCACCACGGTGGGCACCGTGCCACTCCCTGGCTGCTGCCCCCGCTCCAGACTTGTCCTCCCTGTGCTCCTAAGGCTGCCCTGCTGGGACAGGGGGTCCCCACAGCCTGCACCCCCTCCCAGGCCAGAACGGGGGGTACCCACAGCCCTGTGGCACCTGCTGCTCCCAGGTGCCTGCTGCCACAGCCCTCTGGGTGTCCTCTGGGTGTCCTCTGGGTGTGGGGGCAGGCAGGGACAGCAGTGTGCCCAGCTGTCCCCTCCTGCTCCTCGGGAGCCAGGCCGGGGGCAGAGCACGGGGGGCTCTGGGGGATGGATGCCTGTCAGCAGGGTCAGGGTGGATTCTCAGGTGTGTGCCCCCCTGGCTGCTGCCCCGAGGCCGCCAGCTGCCCCCTGTCCGTGCCTCTGCGCCGGGGCAGCTCTGGCAGGGCGCTGCTGGAGTGGTTGGGCCGGGTTGCCTTTGCTGCTGGTGGGACCGGTGCTGCCGGGTTTGGTGCAGGGCTGGGGTGGTTGGGCCGGGCTGGGTTTGGCTCGGTGGGAGCGGCACTGCGGGCTCCAGGCTGCTCAGCTCCGGGGGTGGTCGTGTTGGCTTTGGCTCGGCTGGCACCGGGGCTGTCCCGCACCGGAGGCGGCTGTGTTGAGCTTGGCCCGTTCGGCCGGGACTGGCGGTGCCGGTGCTGCGGGGGGCCCGGGTGGGACTGTTTTTGCAGCCATTGTCTCCGTGCTCTTTGAAGACTCTCCAGTTTCCTTCAGCGGGGCAGGTGGGGTGGCCCGGGGGGGACAAGCCCGGCCCAGAGGGAGGAGGAGGAGGAGGAGGAGGAGGAGGGACGGGCGTTTTGCCCCGCTCTGGCTCCCCGGGGCTCAGCAGAGCGAGCGAAGGTCCCCGCAGCACTGACACGTCGCTCCCGCCGCTGGCAGGGCCGGGCCGGTGCCGCTCGGGACGCGCCCATGAGGCCGGCGGGACAGCGGCGGGGCGGCGGCGGCGGCGGCGCAGCGGGGACACGCTCGGCATGGAGTTCACGGCCATCGACTACAGCATCTTCGCGCTGCTCCTCGTGCTCTCCTCCGCCATCGGGCTCTTCTACGCGCTGAGCGGCGACCGGCAGCGCACGGTGCAGGAGTTCCTGCTGGCCAACCGTGACATGGGCTGCCTGCCCGTGGCCCTGTCCCTGCTCGCCTCCTTCCAGTCGGCCGTGGCCATCCTGGGCGTGCCCGCAGAGATCTTTCGCTTCGGCACCGAGTACTGGTTCCTGGGCTGCTCCTACTTCCTGGGGCTGCTCATCCCCGCGCACATCTTCATCCCCATCTTCTACCGCCTGCGCATCACCAGCACCTACGAGGTGGGCAGGGACACGGGGGGGACACAGGGAGGGCACAGGGGACATGGGGAGGGCACAGGGGGGACACAGGGAGGGCAGGGGGACACGGGAGAGCACAGGGGACACGGGGAGGGCACAGGGGACATGGGGAGGGCACAGGGGGGACACAGGGAGGGCAGGGGGCTGCTCATCCCCACGCACATCTTCATCCCCGCGCACATCTAGCAGAGGGGACACAGGAGGGCACAGAGGCCGGGGGGGACATGGGGAGGCAGAGGGGACACAGGAGGGCACAGGGGACACGGGAGAGCACAGGGGACACGGGGAGGGCAGAGGGGACATGGGGAGGGAACAGGGGGCAGTGGGGAAGCAGAGGGGATGCAGGAGGGCAGAGGGGACACAGGGAAGGCAGAGGGGACAAAGGGAGAGCAGAGGGACACAGGGAGGGCAGGGGGGACACAGGAGGGCAGAGGGGACATGGGGAGGGCAGAGGGGACATGGAGAAGGCAGGAGGGACATGGGAGGGCACAGGGGACATGGGGAGACAGAGGACACAGGGTAGGCAGAGGGGACATGGGGAGGGTAGGAGGGACATGGGAGGGCACAGGGGACAGGGGAGGGCAGGGGGGACATGGGGAGGGCACAGGGGCCAGGAGGGACACGGGAGGGCAGGGGGGACACAGGGAGGAGGGCAGGGGACACAGGGAGGAGGGCAGGGGACACAGGGAGGGCAGGGGCTGCGGGGAGCACAGAGCAGCTGCAGTCGGGTGCCCTGAACTCTCTCCTGGCAGTACCTGGAGCTGCGCTTCAACAAGACCGTGCGGGTGTTTGGCACCATCACCTTCATCTTCCAGATGGTGAGCGGGGCCGGGGCCGTGGGGCTGCCGCGTTTGGGGGCTGGGCGTGGCTCAGCACTGCTCTCCCTCCCCGCAGGTCATCTACATGGGGGTGGTGCTCTACGCTCCTGCCCTGGCGCTCAACGCAGGTACGATGGGGGCAGGAGTGGGGCCGTGCCGGGGGCCGCTGCCCCTCACCCCAGTAATGTCCTCTGCCCCCTCCAGTGACGGGCTTCGACCTCTGGAGCGCGGTGCTGACCATGGGGCTGGTCTGCACCCTCTACACTACCCTGGTGAGTCCCCGGTGCCCTGTGCCCTGCCGTGCCAGGTGGGCGCTGCCACCCCGTGCTGACGGCTCCTGTGTCCCCACCAGGGTGGCCTGAAGGCCGTCATCTGGACAGATGTGTTCCAGACGCTGGTGATGCTGGCGGGGCAGGTGGCCGTCATCGTGGTGGGCGCCTGGCGGGTGGGGGGCATGGCCCGAGTGTGGCGCGTGGCCGAGGAGCAGGGCAAGATCGCCGGCATCGAGTGAGCCATGCCCTGGGACCCCTGTGCTGGTCTGGGACACCTGGGGCAGCTGGGCGGGGGGAGAGGGACTCCCTGTCCTGCTGTGGGACACCTGGGACAGCCTGGGCCGGGGGAGAGGGACCCTGGCTCCTGGGACCCCCTGTGCTGGTCTGGGACACCTGGGGCAGCCTGGGTGGGGGGAGAGGGACTCCCTGTGCTGGTCTGGGGACACTTGGGGCAGCTGGGCCGGGGGAGAGGGACCCTGGCTCCTGGGACCCCCTGTGCTGCTCTGGGGACACCTGGGGCAGCTGGGCTGGAGGAGAGGGACCCCTGTGCTGGTCTGGGACACCTGGGGCAGCTGGGCTGGGGGAGAGGGACCCCCTGTGCTGGTCTGGGACACCTGGGACAGCTGGGCTGGAGAAGAGGGACCCCCTCTGCTGGTCTGGGGACACCTGGGGCAGCTGGGCAGGGGGAGAGGAACCCCCTGTGCTGGTCTGGGACACCTGGGGCAGCTGGGCTGGAGAAGAGGGACCCCCTCTGCTGGTCTGGGGACACCTGGGACAGCTGGGCTGGAGGAGAGGAACCCCCTGTGCTGGTCTGGGACACCTGGGACAGCTGGGCTGGAGAAGAGGGACCCCCTCTGCTGGTCTGGGGACACCTGGGACAGCTGGGCGGGGGGAGAGGGACCCCCCTGTGCTGCTCTGGGGACACCTGGGACAGCTGGACTGGGGGAGAGGGACCCTGGCTCCTGGGACCCCCTGTCCCTGGGGACACCTGGGGCAGCCTGGGTGGGGGGAGAGGGACCCTGGCTCCTGGGACCCCCTGTGCTGGTCTGGGACACCTGGGGCAGCCGGGCTGGGGGAATAGGACCCTGCAGTGGTGGTGTGGCCCACCCCTGTCACTGTCACCCCCTTTCCCGTGGGGTATGGGGTGGCAGTGAGGACCCTCAGCATGACCCCCCCCGGTGCTCCCCACAGCCTGGACCCCAGCCCCCTGGAGCGCCACACCTTCTGGTCGCTGTCTGTGGGCGGGATCTTCATGATGCTGTCGCTGTACGGGGTGAACCAGGCGCAGGTGCAGCGCTACCTGTGCGCCCGCAGCGAGCGCGAGGCCAAGCTGTGAGTGGGGCTGGGCTGGGCTCCCACAGCCGGGGTGGGGCCCTGCCAGTGCCCTGTCTGACAGCCCCGCGGCCCCGCAGCTCCTGCTACGCCGTGTTCCCCTGCCAGCAGATCGTGCTGTGCCTCAGCTGCCTCACCGGCCTCGTCATGTTCGTGTATGACCGGGAGCACCCGCTGGCGCCCGGCCAGCGCCCTGCCTCCTATGACCAGGTGGGTTGAGAGCCCCTCGTGTGTCCCCCCGCTCTGCCCCGAGCCCTGCACTGACCTCCTGCCACAGCTGGTGCTGTTCTTCGTGATGGACGTGCTGCGGGACCTGCCGGGGCTGCCCGGGCTCTTTGTTGCCTGCCTCTTCAGCGGCGCCCTCAGGTGAGTGCCGGCCCCGGGCCGGGGGCTCAGCTGTGCTCAGCTGTGCTCAGGGGTCCCGGCCGAGCCCCCTCCTGCCCCCTCTCCTCCCCAGCACCATCTCCTCTGCCTTCAACTCGCTGGCCACCGTGACCATGGAGGACCTGGTGCGGCCGCACCTCCCCGGGCTCTCGGAGTCGCGGGCCACGCTGCTCTCCAAGCTGCTGGGTGAGCGATGGGGGGTGCCTGGGGGGCAGCCGCGGGGCTGGCGTGCTGGGGGGGTCCCCAGCACTGCCCTGACACCCCCCTCCCCTCCCCAGCTCTCGGCTACGGGCTGCTCTGCCTGGGGATGGCGTACGTGTCCTCCATGCTGGGACCCGTGCTGCAGGTAGGCACGGGCTGTGGCACCCCAGAGGGGGTGAGGGACCCCGGCCCTGGCACCCCAGAGGGGGTGAGGGGCCCCGGCCCTGGCACCCCAGAGGGGGTGAGGGGCCCCCAGGGCTGCCCAGGGCACGGGGCTGGTGCTGAAGGCCGTGTCCCCGCAGGCAGCCATCAGCATCTTCGGCATGGTGGGGGGCCCGCTCCTGGGGCTCTTCTGCCTCGGCATGTTCTTCCCCTGCGCCAACCCCACCGTGAGTGTCCTCGCCTGGCGGTGTCCCCAGCCCCGTGTGGCTGCGTGGGGAGCTCTGTGGGGCCAGTGCCTTGTTTGTCCCTGTCACAGGGAGCCGTGGTGGGGCTGCTGGCCGGACTGGCCATGGCCTTCTGGGTGGGCATTGGCAGCTTCCTGCAGAGCACACAGGGGGCCGAGGGGGTGCCCCCGGCCAACAGCACAGCACTCCCCACCGTGGGCAACCTCAGCACTGTCCTGGCCACCACGCTGCTGCCCCCCACCTCAGCACCGCCCCCGAGGTGAGTGCTGGGAGTGCTGGCAGTGCCGGGTGGGTGTGCAGGGTGGGTGTGCAGGGTCTCAGGTGGGTATGCAGGATGTGTGCAGGGTCTCAGGTGGGTGTGCAGGGTCTCAGGTGGGTATGCAGGATGTGTGCAGGGTCTCAGGTGGGTGTGCAGGGTCTCAGGTGGGTATGTAGGATGTGCAGGGTCTCAGGTGGCTGCTCCACCCCTCCTGCTCACACCCTGTCCCCCAGCCCCACGGGGCTGCAGCGTTTCTACAGCCTGTCCTACATGTGGTACAGTGCCCACAACTCCACCACCGTCATCCTGGTGGGGCTGCTGGTCAGCCTGCTCACGGGTGAGTGCGGGCTGCGGGGGGGCTGCCGTGCTGCCCCCACCCCGCTCACGGCCCTGCGCCCCCAGGCCCCACGCCGGCCGCAGCCCTGGACCCCCGCACCATCTCCCCCGTGCTGCCCTGGCTGCTCTGCTGCCTGCCCCCCAAAATCCGCCACTGGCTCTGCTGCGGGGGAGCCGACCCTGCCCAGGTGAGGGACAGGACCCCCCCCCCCCCCCCAGCACCCCGGGGGAAGGGGGGACATGGGGGCACCCCCGTGCCCCTGCTGCCTCCCCTGTGTCCCCCCTGCCCCTCCTGTGTCCCCCCTGCCCCTCCTGCCCCTGCTGCCCCCCCAGTGCCCCCCCTGCCCCTGCCCCCTCCCCTGTGCCCCCCTGCCCCTGCTGCCCCCCCTGTGCCCCCCTGCCCCTCCTGTGCCCCCTCCCCTGTGCCCCCGTGCCCCTGCTGCCCCCCCTGTGCCCCCCTGCCCCTCCTGTGCCCCCTGTCCCTGCCCCCTCCCCTGTGCCCCCTCCCCTGTGTCCCTCCTGCCCCCCTTGCCCCTGCCCCCTCCCCTGTGCCCCCCCTGCCCCTTCTGCCTCCCCTGTGTCCCCCCTGTGTCCCCACAGGCCCCCGGCCATGGGAACATCTCAGAGAAGAGCCACGGGGTGCCCAACGGGGTGTCCCCCCCCGGCCCCGAGCTGCAAGGGGACGAGGGACAGGGCTACGTGCGCAGCGCCGCCGGGCCCCTCTACGCCGTGCAGGAAACCTCCTTCTGATGGCCCAGCACGGGGGTCCCGGGCGCCCCCTGCTCGGGAACCCTCTGGGGCATCCTCACAGAGCCGAGGAACCGCCCGAGGCTGCTGGGCTGCCCCGCCCGGGGCTCTGGGACCACGGCCGGGGGGGGTCGGAGCGGTGCCCCCCGCCCTGTCCAGGCCGGGACGTTGTGCGGTACCCCCGGCCCAGCCACGTGCCTTACACACCGCTCCGGGGCCGGGGCTGTGTCCCCACGACCCCTGTCACCTGTCTTTGTGTTCGGTGTTCCCCAATAAATGCTTCTGGGGCAAAGACGCTGCAGCGTCCCAAGGAACAGCCCGCTCCCTGCTGCTCCCCAGGACCCCCACGGGACCCCCGTCACCCCAGGCAGTGAGGGGGTGTCTCCACTGTCCTCCAGGAGCCCACAGGGTACCCGGGACTGCCGTGTCCCCAAACACGGCGCTGTTCCCACCGTGCCCCACAGGTGTCCCATTTTTGCAGTCACTGGGGTCCCCATGGAGCCACAGCACTGCTGTCTGCCCAGGTTTTGGGGGGTCCCACTGCCCCCCAGGAGCTGCCATTTCCCCCGGCACCGGGCTGTCCCCGCTGTCCCACATGGGGCCATGTCCCCCTGGGATCTCCCGGTCCTTGTCCCCCCAGCACCGGGCTGTCCCCGTGTCCCCACCGTCCCCCCGGGATCTCCCGGTCTGTCCCCCCCAGCACCGGACTGCCCCGTGTCCCCGCTGTCCCCCCGGTCCGTGTCTCCCCGCCCAGCACCGGGCTGTCCCCACTGTCCCCCCGATCCGTGTCCCCCCAGCACCGGGCTGTCCCCGTGTCCCCGCTGTCCCCGCGGGATCTCCTGGTCTGTCCCGCCCCCAGCACCGGGCTGTCCCCGCTGTCCCCCCGGGATCCCCCGGTCTGTGCCCCCCAGCACCGGGCTGTCCCCGCTGTCCCCGCGGGATCTCCTGGTCTGTCCCGCCCCCAGCACCGGGCTGTCCCTGCTGTCCCGCCGGGATCTCCCGGTCCTTGTCCCCCCGGCACAGGGCTGTCCCCGCTGTCCACGCCCCGAGTGACCTCGTGGCCACGCCCCCCATCCCGTTAGCCACACCCCCGGCGGGTACCGGTGCGTGACGTCACGGCGCGCTGACGCCACGTCCGTGCCATGGCGCCCCGGCGTCCCGCCGAGCTGTACCGGGCGCCGTTCCCGCTCTACACCGTGCGCCTGCACCCGCGGCGGCCGCTCGCCATCACCGCCGGCGGCGGCGGCGCCGCCAAGACCGGCATCCGCAATGGCGTGGTGCGGGGAGCGGGGACCGGGCTGGGGGGACGGGGGCGCGGGGCCCTGAGGGGTCGGAGGGGCCCGGGTGTGCCGGGGGATCTGACCCGGCGGGGCCTGGGAGGTGCGGGCTGCGGGGTGTGGAGGGGCTCGGGGGCCGCTCTGACACGGCAGGGCCTGGAGGGTTCGGGCTCTGCGGGGTGCGGGGCGGAGGGGCCCGGGTGCGTGGGGGGATCTGACACGGCGGGGCCTGAGGGATTTGCGGTGTGCGGGCTGCGGGGCGGAGGGGCCCGGGTGTGCCGGGGGGTCTGACATGGGGGCTTTTGAGGGGTGCGGGTGTGCGGGGCGGAGGGGTTTGGGTGTTTGGGGCGGGTCTGACACGGCGGGGCCTGCGGGGTTTGCGGTCTGCCGCCGTACGGTGCAGCGGCGCAGGTGTCCCGGGGAGCCCCCGCGGCCGGGCCGTGACCGCGCCTGCCGCCTCCTCCCGCCCCGCAGCACTTCCTGCAGCTGGAGCAGATCGGCGGGCAGCTCAGCGCCTCGCTGCTGCACTGCCACGACACCGAAACCCGCGCCACCATGACCATGGCGCTGGCCGGGGACGTCATTGCCGCCGGGCAGGACAACAGCTGCCACATCCTGCGCTTCAGCCTGCAGGAGCCCGAGGCTCCGGGCGCGGCCGGGAAGGACGGTGAGACACTGCTTTGTGTGAGGCACTTGCCCCGGGGCTGTGCTGTGCCGTGGGGATGGCCCTGAATTCCCCTCCTGCCTGCCCTGGATGCTGTGGGGAGGGACGAAGTGCGTTGTGGAGATAAGGCATTCTGTGAACAGCCTCGTGCCCACCCTGGATCTCCCCTGTGCCGGCCCTGAATCCCCTCGCCTTGCCTGCCTTGGGTGCCGTGGTGCAGGATGTGGGGTCTGTGGGGTGGCTTGGGGATGGGGCACTGCCTTGAACCCTTGCCTGCCTGTTCTGAACCTTCTTTTCTGTGCTTGCTCTGGGTACCATGGTGAGCTTTGGGGATGGGACACTGCCCTGGGGCTCCCTTGTGCCCCCCCATCCCTGGATGCTCTTACCAGAGTGTGGGGGGCTGTGGGGTGCTTTAGGGCTGGGGCACAGCTGTGGACCTCCCATGCCCACCCTGGATCTTCCCTGTGCCTGCCCTGGGTGCTGGAGGGCAGGGAGTGGAGGGCAACTCGGGGTCTGTGGGGTTGCTTGGGGATGGGCATTGCCCTGAACCCCTCCATCACTGTCATGGACCTGCCCCCTGTGCCTGCCCGGGGTGCCATGTGGAGATTTGGGGTTTGCATGCTGCCCTGGAACCCCCCAAGTGCCTGCCTGGGGTGCCATGGGGCTGTGGGGGCAGGCTGTGGGGTGCCGTGGGGGTATGGGGCACGCCATGGGGAGCCGTGGGGTGGTGGGGCAGAGTGTGGGGAGCCGTGGGGGCTGTGGGGCAGGGAATAGGGAGCCGGGGTGCCGTGGGGCAGGGAATGGGGAGCCATGGGGCTGTGGGGCAGGGAATGGGGAGCTGTGGGGCAGGGAGTGGGGAGCCGTGGGGCCGTGGGGCAGAGAAGGGAGAGCCGTGGGGCTGCAGGGCGCCCTGGGGAGGGGCAGCCCGGTGCCAGCCGCGTCCCCCGCAGGCAGCGGGGACAAGGGCCCGCGGCGGCGGCGGGGAGGCAGCGGCGGCGGGGCCCAGGGCGGCGCGCAGGGCCGGGCCCGCGAGGTGAGGGTGGAGAGCCTGCAGCGGGTGCGCACCGACTTCAGCCCCGATGCCCTGCAGAAGGCCGTGCGCTTCAGCGCCGACGGAGCCCTGCTCGCCACCGGCGGCGCCGACGGCTTCCTGCGCCTCTGGGAGGTGGGCACGGCCCGCCGGGACACGGGATGGGGACACGGCGGGGCTGGGGGCACGGCAGGGCTGGGGACACGGGCTGGGCAGCAGGGCTGGGGACATGGGAGGGCGGAGGGGAGCCTGGTGAGCTAGGGTGGGCATGGGGATCTGGGGGGACGTGGGGGAATGGATGTGGGCACAGTGGGTTGAAGGGCAGGCATAGGGAGCTGGGGTGGGCACAGGGAGCTGGGGGGATGTGGGGGAGTCAAGAAGGGGCATGGGGGAATGGATGTGGGCACAGTGGGTTGGAGGGCAGGCATGGGGAGCCAGGGTGGGCACAGGGAGCTGGGGGGATGTGGGGGAATGGATGTGGGCACAGTGGGTTTGAAGGGCAGGCATGGGGAGCCAGGGTGGGCACAGGGAGCTGGGGGGACATGGGGGAGTCAAGAAGGGGCATGGGGGAATGGATGTGGGCACAGTGGGTTGGAGGGCAGGCATGGGGGAGCCGGGGTGGGCACAGGGACCAGGCTGGGCAGGGGGAGCTGGACCCAGAGGAGCAGTGGCTGCCGTTGCCACGCTGATGGCAGCAGGCCTTGGGCAGGGATAGCTGGATTGGCAGCACCTGTGGTCACCTAACACTGCTCCCCACACCTGCCTGGTACCACGGCAGGGCCTGGCCCTGCCCAGCACCCACAGCAGCTCTGCCTCTGCAGTTCCCCAGCATGAAGAAGACGCTGGAGTTCAGAGCCCACGATGGGGAAATTGAGGACATCGCACTGGGCCCTGACAACAAGGTGGGTGTCAGGGGCTCCCCGGTTCCCTGGCCCTGCAGGAGAGGGGCCTCAGACCCCTGTGCTGTGTGCAGCAGGTGGTGACAGCTGGGAGGGACTTCCAGTGCTGCGTGTGGCAGCAGGACCAGCTGGTGACAGGGCTGCGCTGGCACGAGAACCTGCCTGGCATCCCCGACAAGGCCTATCGCTACCAGGCCTGCCGGTGAGGGCTGGGGATGGGGCTGGGCAGCTCAGAGAGAGCTGGGACTGGGCACTGGGACTGGGCAGGGGGACAGGGAGGGGTGTTGGAGCTGGGGACAGGGCTGGGGATGGCGCTGGGCAGGGGAACAGGGCCAGGGGCATGGGGCTGGGGATGGGGCAGGGCAGCTCAGATAGAGCCAGGGGCAGATCAGAGGCCTGGGGCACTGGGATTGGGACAGGGCAAGGGGACAGAGCAGGGGCATTGGGGCTGGGGACAGGGCTGGGGATGGGGCTGGGCAGCTGCAGGTAGAGCTGGGGGCAGCTCAGAGGGCTGGGGTTGGGCACTGGGACAGGGCAGGGGCACAGGGAGGGGTGTTGGGGCTGGGGACAGGGCTGGGGATGGCACTGGGCAAGGGGACAGGGCCAGGGGCATGGGGCAGGGCAGCTCAGATAGAGCCAGGGGCAGATCAGAGGGAAGGGGCGCTGGTTACTGGGCAGGGGCACAGGGAGGGGTGTTGGGGCTGGGCAGGGGCCTGGGGCATGGTCACAGGGGCTGGGTCATGGGGCAGGGGTTGGGGAGGGGCCATGGGGCTGTGAATGGGCCACCCCTGCCTGCTGCTCTGCCCTGTCACTGTTGCTGCTGGGTCTGTGGGAAGGGGTCCCCTGGGCTCTGCTGGCAGCTGTACAGGGAGGGGCCTGGGGCCAGGTTTGGACTGGGACGGTGGTGGTGGTGTGGGGCTGCACCCCCCGAGCCCCACATTCCCCCCATGCCCCTCTGCCTGTGGCAGGTTTGGGGCCGTGGAGGGCAGTGCCGGGGCTCTGCGGCTCTACACGGTGCAGGTGCCCCACAAGCGGGAGCGCCGCCCCCCGCCCTGCTACCTGACCAAGTGGGATGGGAAGAGCTTCCTGCCGCTGCTGACGCGGCCCTGCGGCTCCGAGGTGGTCTCCTGCCTCTCCATCAGGTAGCCCAGGGCCAGTGGGCACGGGGTGGGGGCCGTGGCAGCCCCCGCTCACTGCCGTGCCCCCACAGTGACTCGGGCACGTTCCTGGGGCTGGGCACGGTGACGGGCTCCGTGGCCATCCACATTGCCTTCTCGCTGCAGGTGAGTGGGGCAGGGCTGGGGGCAGCCCCCGGCCCCCCCAGCCCCTCACCCCCTGTGTGCCCCCAGAGGCTGTACTACGTGAAGGAGGCCCACGGCATCGTGGTGACAGACGTGGCCTTTGTCCCCGAGAGCCGGCCCGGGCGGGAGCTGCTCGGGGGCCACGAGGCCGCCCTGCTCAGCGTGGCCGTGGACAGTCGCTGCAAGCTGCACCTGCTGCCCTCCCGCCGTACGTCCGGGGCTGCCCCTGGGCTGCTCTGCTCCTCCCGTGCAGGGGCCTGCTCTGACCCCTCCCTGTCCCACAGGCTCCCTCCCTGTCTGGCTGCTGCTGCTGCTCTGTGCCGGGCTCATCGTGGCCACCATCCTGCTGCTGCAGCTCGCCTTCCCGGGCTTCCTGTAGCCCCCTGGCCCCCGGAGGGACCCCCCAGCCTCCCCCCACCCCACACAGACTGTGAAGGACACGAGGGACCAGCCCTGGCCCCGCTGTCCCCGCTGGCGCTCGGGGAGCAGACGCGGGTCCAGGGAGGCACGCAGGGCGCCGTCCCTGTGGGACCGTGCTGGCAGCAGAGCAGGGCCGGCCCGGGACAGGGCCCTCTCCTAGCCCGGGAGAGGAGGGTCCTGCTGGCCCCTGCCCTGCTGGCCCCTGCCCTGCTGCTGCCATTAAACTGGAGCATGAAGGCAGTGCTGTCCGCGTGTGCTGGGGGAGCGCGCCTGGGGCTGAGGGCATCGTGCTGCGGGCAGGGTGTGCCCCGGGGCCGGTGTGGCACGGGGTCTGGCTGCCCGGGGCCCCGGCTCCGGGATGGGTGTGCCCTCGGTGTGGCACCGGGCCTGGCTGCCCGGGGCCCCGGCTCCGGGATGAGTGTGCCCTCGGTGTGGCACCGGGCCTGGCTGCCCGGGGCCCCGGCTCCGGGATGGGTGTGTCCCCGGTGTGGCACCGGGCCTGGCTGCCCAGGGCCCCGGCTCCGGGATGGGTGTGTCCCCGGTGTGGCACCGGGGCCCCGGGGCTGTGTGTACCGGCACGGCCCGACCCGGTGCTGCTGCAGGGCCCGAGGCTCGGTGCCGCTGGGCTGGCCCGGCTCTGCCCGGGACCGCGGGGGTCTTTGGGGGGTCTCACCCACCGACGTGGCCCCGTCCCTGCTGTGACCACCGATTCCGGGCCCGTTTGGAGGGGCCGGGTCCCGGTTCCCCCGGCGCTGCCCCGGGGCACCTGCGTGCGGCTGAATCCCGGCTCCCCGCGGGAAGGGCCGGGCCGGGCGGGGCCGCTCCCGGCCGCGGTGGCAGGGCCGGGACGTGTCGGCTACGTGGCCCCGGGGCGGGGCGGGTGGCACCGACACGCGAACGGGGCTGGGTGAGTGGGTGCCGGGGGGCACCGGCGGTACCGGGCTGGGCGTGTGCGGGCTGAGCGCGTACCGGGGTGGGCACCGGCGGTACCGGGCTGGGCGTGTGCGGGCTGAGTGCGGGCGCGTCCCCGCCGCCGTGCGGGAACCGGGGCAGCTCCCGGAGCAGCTCCCGCCCCTCTCCCAGCACCGGGCTCCCACGGGCCCTCCCACCGAGCCCCGGCAGGGCCAGCCCGAGCCCGCTGTTCTCGTCCCGCCGCAGGCCGGGGTCGCGGGATGAGGAACGCGCCAGTGATGCTGCTGCTGCTGCTCCTGGTGCTGCTGGGGCCAGCGGCATGGGCTGCCCCCAGGGCGGGCACCAACAGGTACGGGGACACAGCCAAGGGAAGGCAGAGCTGTGGGGGAACACAGGGGAAGGCAGAGCTGTGGGGGGACAGCCAAGGGGAGGCAGAGCTGTGGGGGGACACAGGGGAAGGCAGAGCTGTGGGGGGACACAGGGGAAGGCAGAGCTGTGAGGCACAAGAGAAGGCAGAGCTATGGGGGGACACAGGTAGTACAGGAAGGCAGAGCTGTGGGGGCACAGGGGAAGGCAGAGCTGTGGGGCACAGCCAAAGGAAGGCAGAGCTGTGGGGGCCACAGGTAGTACAGGAAGGCAGAGCTGTGGGGGGACAGCCAAGGGAAGGCAGAGATGTGGGGCACAGGGGAAGGCAGAGCTGTGGGGGTGCAGCCAAGGGGAGGCAGAGCTGTGGGGGGACAGCCAAGGGAAGGCAGAGATGTGGGGCACAGGGGAAGGCAGAGCTGTGGGGGTGCAGCCAAGGGGAGGCAGAGCTGTGGGGGGACACAGGGGAAGGCAGAGCTGTGAGGCACAGCCAAGGGAAGGCAGAGCTGTGGGGCACAGCCAAGGGAAGGCAGAGCTGTGGGGGCACAGGGGAAGGCAGAGCTGTGGGGCACAGCCAAAGGAAGGCAGAGCTGTGGGGGGACAGGAAGGCAGAGCTGTGGTGTTTGTGTGGCTGCAGGGGCACAGGTGCAGGGGGAGTTCAAGGTGGCCATGGGAGGGGCAAGCACAGCGAGGGCTGGGACCCCTGGATCTGCAGGGGCCGTGGGTGGGGGGTGTCAGGCCGGGCTGGGCAGCCCCAGGGGCACAGGTAACTGAGCCCCTGTCTCCTGGCCAGGCCTGAGCCCCCCGTGGCCACAGTCGTGGATCCCCATCCCAACCCACTGAGCCCGGAGCCGCCTGCCCTGCTGTGAGTGCCTGCCCTGCTGTGAGTGCCTGCCCTGGGGACCCCCACCATGCCCAGGGCTGAGCATGGGGCTGGGGGCACAGTGCTGGGGGGGCTGCACAGTGCCCAGCCTGCCCTGCAGTGCTTCCCAGCCCAGCCCTGCTCCCCCCAGGCTGCTGAGGAGCGCTGTGCAGAGCCTGGGGCCCCCGGAGCAGGACGTGCAGGCCATGACACGGGAGCAGGGTAAGGCCATGGGGGCGTGGTGGGGGCCTGAGGGGCTGCTGGGACCAGGGACCCCGGCCCCATAGCCCCCCATGCCCCACAGCCCTGCTCTACCTCTTTGTGCTCCACGACCACGACCAGAGCAGGCGCCTGGATGGGCTGGAGCTGCTGCAGTTACTGGGCACGGTGCTGGCACAGGCTGGGGGGCAGCCAGAGCCTGACATGGTGGGTCCCACAGGGATGGCTCCTCACGCCCCCCTGAGCCCCTGGGCCGAGCCCTCGTCCTGATCCCCATCCCTGCAGGTGGCTGCACTGGTGGACCAAGCCCTGGCAAGGCAGGACCTGAATGGGGATGGGCTGCTGGACCCCTCCGAGCTGCTGGACCCCCCCGAGCTGCCCTTGCCTGGTCAGGACAAGGGTCCCCCAGGACAGCCCCCACTAGAGCAGCAGGCAGCGCTTGGGGCTGTGCCTGGCGGGGACACGGAGATGCCAAGGCAGGACCTGGGGTTGAAAAGCCCAGAACAGGCAGCTCCTGAGGCTGGAGAGCCCCAGACTGGAGCCCCTGAGGATGGAGAGCCCCAGACTGGAGCCCCTGAGGATGGAGAGCCCCAGGATGGAGCCCCCGAGGATGGAGCCCCAAGCATGGAATCTCTTCAGGTGGAATCTCCCAATGCTGAGGCCTTGGAGGCAGGAGTTGTCCCTGGGGCCAAAGCCCCCAGTAGTGATGCCACAGAGGAAGAGGAAGCCCCTGAGGCTGAAGGCCCTGAGGAGCAGGCAGCCCCAGCCTGGAGGGACCATGGGGAGGGGTAGGCAGGGGGGCTGTGGGATGCAATGCCCCAGCTGCTCCCTGCCCTGCTCAGGGCACAGAGGGGCAGGGGGTGACCCTGGCCAGGCTGCTGGGGCCGTGTGGTCTCCTCTGTAACGCATTGGATGGAGAAATAGAGGCACTCTGGTGACCTTGGCTGTGGTCAGTGCATCCCAGGGCAGTGGGACCCCAGCCAGGGGACACAGGAGGCAGCAGTGGTGCACATGGGGTTTTATTGGGGGGTTCTGGGTGCAGTGGAGATGTGCAGACGTTGCTGGGTGGGTGCAGTGGAGATGTGCAGACGTTGCTGGGTGCAGTGCCGTGCCTGGGCCCTGCAGGGGTCTCCAGGCACACGCTCAGACGATGCCATCGAAGCCCTGGATCCCGCATTTCCTGCCTGCGATCTGGCAGCCGAAGGTGAGGGCATCCTGCAGGCTCCTCCCTGGGGATGGGGCCCAGGATGAGCTGTGGCCGTGCCAAACTGAACCGTGGCCGTGCCGTGGCCGTGCCACGTTTGTGCCCACCTTCTGCGAGGGCAAAGATGACAGCAGCGTTGAAGGTGTCCCCAGCCCCCAGCGTGTCCACGAGGGTCTCTGGGGGGAAGGCGTCCGAGTGCACCAGCTGCCCGTCGGGCCCCAAGGCATCAGCGCCCTCCTCAGCCCAGGCGCAGATCAGCGTGGCCCTGGGGGAGTGTGAGGTGTGAGTGTGAGGGGAGTGTGAGGCACCGTGTGCCTCCCCCGGGCCCTCTCGGGTACACCCCTACCCTGGCTGGATGCGCCCCCGCAGCCCCCGCAGCGCCTCGGGGGCCGATTGGTACCCGAAGTGCCGGGCCAGGTCCTTGCTGATGAACACCTGTGGGAGAGGGGCTGGGGCGGGGCAGCCCCCGGTACCCCCAGCCCGGTGCGGTGAGATCTGTGCCCTGGCGGCATCCCCAGAGCCCGTCTGAGCCCCCAGAGCCCGTCTGAGCCCCCAGAGCCCGCCCGAGCCCCCTGAGCCCCCAGAGCCCGCCCGAGCCCCCAGAGCCCGCCTGAGCCCCCAGACCCCTCCATCCAAACCCCCCACCCCCGCACCCCCCGAGCCGATTCCCCCGGACCAGGACCCCCAACCCCCGCAGATCTGACCGCTCCTGTCCCGACCTCGGCCCCGCCACGCCTTTGGCCTCGCCCGGGACAGGGAATCGGGACAGGGGATCGGGACAGGTGATAGGGACAGGTGATAGGGACAGGTGATAGGGACAGGTGATTGATGGGGACAGGTGATCGGGACAGGGGATCGGGACAGGGGATGGGGACAAGGGAATCGGGACAGGCGATCGGGACAGGGGTTGGGGACAGACAGGGGATCGGGACAGGCGATCGGGACAGGGAATCGGGACAGGGGATGGGGACAAGGGGATCGGGACAGGGAATCGGGACAGGGGATGGGCACAGGGGATGGGGACAGGCGATAGGGACAGGGGATGGGGACAGGGGATCGGGACAGGCGATCCTGCCCATCGCCCCGGCCCCGCACCACTTGTCCCCGCCCCATCAGCGGCAGCAGCTCCTCCCGCGGCTTCTCCAGCTCCACCGAGATCCGGACCCGCCGCTCCGGCGCCGCCGCCCGGTTGTGCCGCTCCAGCCGCTCCAGCATCGCGCCCTGCTCCGCCGCGTTCCGGGCCTGCGGACACGGCTCCGGCATCACCGGGGGATCGCCGGTCCCGGGAGGCCCCTCGGTCCCGGGGATGCTCCCTCACTGGGGATGTCCCCCAGACCGAGGGATCCCCTCCGGTCCCGGGCTCACGCGCAGCCCGAGGGATTTTCCTCGGTCCCCCAGAACCCCCCGAGCCTCGGGCTCACCTCGAAGTGGATCCACCTGTACTGGGAGAGGTCCACCCGCTCGAAGTCGCGGGCTGTCACGTCGGGCAGGTTCCTGTGGGACGGAGGCCGGGGGGACATTGGGACCCTCCGCCTGGCCCGTGCAGGGGCGAAGGGCAGCCCCGGGGGCCGCGGAGGGCCCCGCGCCACCGGGACAGAGGTCCCGAGGAGGCACTGCCGGGTGAATCATTAATGATGGCACCGTGAGCTGGACTCCAAGGGCAGCGCAGCGGTGGCCGCGCTGGGACCTGGGGTCAGCCGTGCCCAACAGTCCCTGACCCCCTTGGGCACGGCTGAGGGAGCCGGGTTATCCCCACGGGGCCGTGCCGGCTGTCCCGCACTCCGGAGCGTGGAGATATCATCGCCAGTCCCCACCTCCGTGTGGAGACACCAGCTCCGGTCCCGGCAGTGGCACCGGCGGTGACAGAGCTGCGGGGACACCGGCGGTGGCAGTGGCTGCAGGGACACCAGAGGTGACGGTGGCTGCAGGGACACCAGAGGTGACAGTGACTGCGGGGACACCGGAGGTGACAGTGGCTGCAGGGACACCGGCTGTGACAGGGCTGCGGGGGCACCGCCACTCGCCCCATCCGGCACTCGGTAGCCCCCGGCAGGCAGCGGAGGGACCCTCGGGACAGAGCTGGCAGCGCCCAGAGCTGGCAGAGCCCAGCGCTGCCCCGGGCCCGGGCCCTTACGTGTCGTGCAGGACGATGGTGCGGGAGCCGCTGGCGGCGTTGACGAGGCAGCAGGCGCAGGGCACCTCTCCGCGGGGCTGCCAGGCCACGTGCGCCGTGTCCACGCCCCGGCGCTGGAAATCGGCCGCGATGAAGCTGAGAGGGGACAGAGAGCGGGCTGGGGGCCGCCACCGGAGCGGCGGAGGCGGGCGGGCAGCCGGGAACCGCGGGCGGGCAGCCGGGAACCGCGGGCGGGCAGCCGGGAACCGCGCCGAGGGCCCGTGAAGCGGCGGGGCGGTTCGGTCCGGTGCCCTGGCGGGTCGGCAGTTCCCGCACCGTCCCGCACCGCACTTACTCAGCGGCGGGCCCGGGCGCCAGCGAGCCCATGAAGGCGCAGGGGGCTCCCAGCAGCGCCAGCACCGTGCAGGAGTTGGAGGCGTTCCCGCCGCGCTGCCAGCGCTGAGAGAGGCACCTGCGGGGCGGGAGCTGCGGTGGGCACAGGGCCCGTGCGGGGACACCGGAGCCCCCGTTGCCGGTACCGGACGAGAGGCTGCGGCGGGCAGGTTCGGGCACACCGGAGCCCCCCGCTGCCGGTACCTGGTGTCGGAGTCCTCGGCCGGGAAAGCCTCCACCACGCTGATGATGTCCAGGCACACCAGCCCCACGCACATGATCCGCCGCTCTCCCGCCGCGCCGCCCGCCGCTGCCGCCATCCCGGGCCGCTACCGGGCGGGACCGGGGCCGGGACAGGGACCGGGACAGGACGGGACCGGGATAGGGGCCGGGACAGGGACGGGGACAGGGACGGAACCGCGCCGGGAACGGGCAAAGCCCTGGCCCCGCCCCCTCGCGCCGCCTCCAATCAGCGCCCGCCGCCCCGCCGGGCCCTCGGGGGGCGTGGCCATGCGGGTCCGCCCTGGTCACGCCCCCACGGGGCGGGGCGCGCGCTCGGCGGGACCGGGGCACGGGGACAGGGACAGGGACAGATGGACACACAGGGACAGACACAGGGACAGATGGACACATGGGGACAGATTGATACCCAGGGACAGATGGACACACAGGGACAGACGGACACACAGGGACAGACGGACACACAGGGACACGTGGACGCACAGAGGTGGACACACAGGGACAGATGGACATAGAGACAGGTGGACACACAGGGACACACAGGGACAGACAGACACACGGACACACAGGGACAGATGGACACAGGGACCCACAGGGACAGATGGACACACGGACACACGGGGACAGATGGACACACAGGCACAGATGGACACACGGCCATGGACACACAGGCACAGACCCGTGCCTCCCCCCATGACTCATGCAAAGCCTTCCGAGCCGTTCGGTGACCCGGGTGTGACCCGGGTGTGACCCGGGACTGTGCCCCGCCCGCCCCGGCCGAGCTCAGCCGCTCTCCGGAGCGAGCGGGAGCCACCGGGGCTGCTGGGACCCCCGGAGCGGGGCCGGGGCTGCTGGGACCCCCGGAGCGGGGCCGGGGCTGCTGGGACCCCCGGAGCGGGGCCGGGGCTGCTGGGACCCCCGGAGCGGGGTCCGTTCCAGCCGTCGGGTCCGTGACTGCTTCAGTCCCTCCATCTGCCTGTGGGTGCAGCGTTTGCTGCAATTCCTGCATTGCTGTGGGTGCAAATGCACGGCTGAGCAGCCTGGGGGAAACTGAGGCACCTGGGGTCTCACCTGAGGGGTGCAGGTGAGAGGAACAGCAGAATTGTCTTTACAAACAAACTCTGGGTCTGCTGCTGGATAAAACCAGCGCTGGGAGATAAAAGAAACACTGGGAAGGATTCCACTGATTGATGAATGGAAAAAGAGATTTGCTTTTGCAAATAAATTTTAGGTTTGCTGATAAATGAAATTAGACATTGAAAGATGAAAGAAACAATGGGGAAAAAACCCTAAATTCCATAAGAATTAAAAATGAAAAGGGAGGGTTATACATTAGAGGGAAAATCTCTGGTATCAGGCGTTTTGGGAAGTCTGAACCTCTCAAGTACCTCAGCCAATAGGGAAAGAGAGAAGGGAAATGTGGCTGGAAATTGGGATAAAAAGGAGGCTGCATCCTCCAAAAATTGGAGAGACCCCAGGGAAATGCCCCATGGCCTCTCCCTTTATTGGGATAAAGCCAAAAAGGGACTCCTCTGTCTCCATTTTGGAAATGAACCTCTGGTGTTTGTGGATTGATTTTCCTTACACAGGGGACTGAGGGCACCCAGAAGGGCATGGGAGGGTTTGGGGTCTGGGGCCTGCCCGGGCATGGAGGCATCGGGGCTCCCTGGGAGGGGGCTGGGGTTAAAAAGGGATTTTTGGACTATTTCAGCACATCCAGCACAGTCAGGGGATCTCCTGTCCAAGGTTGTGCAGTTGTGAGCACTGGGGCTGATTGAGGCTTCACTGACCTGGGACAGAGAGAGAAAAGGTTGATGGCAGAGCTGCTGGAGCGTTGTAGGAGGTGAAGAGAGAAATTGTGTAAAATCCTGGGCTCTGTGGTGTCAGACACACCGGGTTTAAT